TACAATTTAAATATTACTCGGTGTATATTTCATTTGTTGTGTGTGAAGGGCATTTTCTGAATGAAATTTATAAAGGATGTGAAACAAATACTTAGTTGAGTTTTGTCACCAGGGACCTATATCTTAAGATCTCTAAAAAAAAAAAAATAGATCATCTTACCCAAATAGTACCACTATCTCCCCCGATTTCGATTTGATGTATATCTTTGTCATCTCTATTCTTAACTCGAGATATTGCGACATATAATTTTAATACTAATACTAATATTATTACTAATACTAATGCTAATACTAATACTAATACTAAAATGTAATACATTAATACTAATATCAATACTAATATTCATAGGGTAATGCAACTATTGGTACTAACTAGTACTTCACCCGTGCGTTGCACAAATGTCAGTTTAAAAAATGAGAAAAATAATAATATGTAAGCTGTTATCTCTTTGTAACAATACTAATTCAAGCAAAACAAAATGAAAGAAAATAGAAAAAACATAAACTTTATCTCTTAATATAGAATTGTAAAACGCGATATGAATATTAAGTGAAATAATTTAAAACATATGGTATAACTCCATTTCATGGAATGCAATCTACTACACCATGTGAATCTTATGCTAACTAACTTAATGACAAATACGATAGCAGAGTAGTAACATAATATATATTCAAATAACCTGCAAGTTTATCACTGATGACGTCCGCTCAGTGATTCACATTACTCAAACAACAATACAACTTATAAATATTGCAAAAAGAGATGAGATGTATACACCACTACCTAGACATAACAATGTGTCGAACATGAAAGGAAGAATACCACATACTAAAAATACTAATATTACTAATACTAATAATAATACTAACACTAATAATTCAAATATAAATATTAATACTAATATTAATCATAACCCTAATCCAAATCGTAATACTAATCATAATTCAAATTCAACTACTAATCATAATCCTAATCCTAATACTAATATAATCCTACTAATACTAATATTAATACTAATACTAATACTAATACTAATACTAATACTAATACTAATACTAATACTAAGGCTAATACTAATACTAATACTAATACTAATACTAATACTAATACTAATACTAATACTAATACTAATACTAATACTAATACTAATACTAATACTAATACTAATACTAATACTAATACTAATACTAATACTAATACTAATACTAATACTAATACTAATACTAATATTAATACTCATACTAATACTAATACTCATACTAATACTAACACTAATACTAATACTAATATTAATACTAATACTAATACTAATACTAATACTAATACTAATACTAATACTAATACTAATACTAATACTAATACTAATACTAATACTAATACTAATACTAATACTAATACTAATACTAATACTAATACTAATACTAATACTAATACTAATACTAATACTAATACTAATAATAATACTAGTATTAATAATAATATTGATACTAATACTGATGCTCATACTAATGTTGATGTTGATACTGATACTGATACTGATATTGATACCTATACCGACACCGACACTGATATTGATATTGATACTTATACCAATACTAATACTGATATTGATATTGATACTAATACTTATACTGATACTGATGCGGATGCTGATGCTGATGCTGTGCTGATAATGATACTGAGACTAATGCTGATACTAATCCTTATACTAATAGCCATACTCATACGCATACTTATACTCATACTCATACTAATTCTCATTCTCATTCTCATTCTCATACTAATACTAATACTAATACTAATACTAATACTAATACTAATACTAATACTAATACTAATACTAATACTAATAGTAATACTAATACTAATACTCATACTAATACGAATACTAATACTGATACTAATACTAATACTTATACTAATACTAATACAAATACTAATACTAATACTAATCCTAATACAAATAGTAATATTGATGCTAATATTGATACCCATACTAATAATGATACTCATAGTAATACTCATACTAATACTCATACTTATACTCATACTAATACTAATACTCATACTACTAATACTAATACTAATACTAATACTAATACTAATACTAATACTAATACTAATACTAATACTAATACTAATACTAATACTAATACTAATACTAATAATACTGATATTGATACTAATACCGATACCGATACTGATACCGATACCGATAACGATACCGATACCGATACCGATACCGATATTGATACTAATACTGATACTACTACTGATACTGATACTGATAGTGATACATATATTGATACTCATACCGATACTGATACTAATACTGATACTGATACCGATACCGATACCGATATCAATACTGATACCGATACCTATACTGATACCGATACTGATACTGATACTGATATTGATACTAATAATGATATTGATTGTGATACTGATAATGATACTGATACTAATACTCATACTCATACAATACATAATAATACTCATACTAATACTCATACTAATACTCATGCTAATACTGGTACTAATACTGATACTAATATTTATACTAATATTGGTACTTATATTTGTACTTATACTGATACTAATACCGATACTAATACCAAGGTTGTAAAAAACGGAAATCGAGTTAGAGGCGGTTAGGCACTGCCTCACGATAAATCGATGATGCGGTGATTAATCGGCAATAAATAAAAAATAAATCGATTTTTAAAATTTAATATAATATTTATTGATATTATTTATAAATACTCAAAACATGTATAAAAATAGATTTAAACATTGTTATATCTCCATTATTTATATATCCTAATAACATAATAAAAGCTTAATAATAATAAGTTCATAGTACAATAAAAATCCTTATAAAATGTAAATAAAATGGAAATCTTTTGAATTCAAATTTAGGGTAAATATCACTTTACCCCCTTGTGGTTTCAACTTGTTGCACTTTACCCCCCGCGTCATATCAATTTGCACAATGTAGCGCCCGTCAGTATATCCGTTAAAGGTTAACAGAGAGTGCATCTCACTCGCTCGAAAATGACTTGGTTGAGTTTTTTTTACCTTAAATTAATATTTTTACACCTTTTAACCACTTTCTATTCAATATTTACCATTCATTCTTCAATAAATACCCCACCATCTTTTCCAAATTAAACCCTAATTCCCAACTTTTTTGCTGCAGAACAACATCCCATTTTTCTTTTTTTTGTTCTTTTTGTTTTTTGCGTGTGCGATGTCTTCTTCTTCAAACAACTATGAAATTGTTGATCTACGATACCACGGGAAGATATGTTCTTGTGGAAGAAAAGTTGACATAAAAATTGTTGACAGTGAGAAGCCATCAAAGGGTCGATTATATTTTCGGTGCTCCGATTCAAATTGTGGCTTTCAAGTTGCATATCACCTAGAACAACATCATCTAGAGCTGGAGAGGGAATTGAGCAAATGATTGTAGGCATAAAGACTATGGTTCAAGTTCTTGAAGCTAAACAAGAAATGGTGAAGCAAATGGTGGTTGGATGTTTTTTTCTTTATTTAATTTCAGTTGCAATCCTTGTTTGTAAGTTTTGAAATAAAAAAACTATTACTAATGACTACTAATGCCTTTGTTTTCATAAACTGCATATATCAATAACCAATTACTTTGAACAACTGAGCAAAATATAATCTGCAAAATTAACATTCACCAACAAACAACATTCTTCCAACTGTTTCAACAAACAAACACATTGTTTTGCATAAGTGGCCAAAATAAATAACCAAACAAACAAGTTGTTCACTGTTTAACAGAGAACAAAAGATCCACTAAGCCAACTGACAAAAAAATGATTAGTTTGGATAAACTAAAAAAAACATGGCTCTCCATGGAAAACATAAAAATCATAAAATTACTTCAGCTCAGTTTGGAATCAACGTATCCAAACTGATTTTTTCTTCCCTTTCACTTGCCTTTTCTCCTACTTTTTTACTACCAACTGGAGTTGTTTTTTTATCTCTGGAACAATGCTCCATTAGGTCCATGCAATAATGGTGGTTGAGAAGAGGTAGTTTGGGAAAATAAATTCAAAACCAAAAAACATAAACGGTGGTTAAATATTTGCAAGTCAGGTCTAATTGAAAAATAAAATAAATGTGAAATGCAAACTAACCTCAAAAGTGGACTGTGATAAAGGTGGTTGGGAGGAGAGACTTGAATGCAGTGCTGCAGGTACTTAAATTGCAAGACTTTGTGCAAATATATTCTGCAGAAACAATAAAACTAATTAGATATATAAATTAACAAATATTCAATGATAAAATATTGAGACAAAAAAAATACTCAATGATAAAATATTAAAACAAAACAAATACCTCAGAGGGAACAGGTTGAGAAATGCCTTCACTGTTTGCAGGTACTTCAGTAGGAATTGATGCCCTCTTAACTCTGGGAGGTTGGGGATTTTTTGCATGCAATAAATGAATAGAAAAAGTTAGTATAATCCAAATAATATGAAAATGAAAAGTACAATTTAAGTAAATAAATTACCATCAACAACTTAGAATTAGGATACATTTGTCCCTTGCATCCTCTTTTATTTTCTCCAGTTTGGAGGCACTTGGCACATGTACTGCCAATTTCTTTCTTGAAACCTCAGAAGGATTTCTGCTGCCTTGTTCATCAGTTGTTTTGTTTATCTTATTTTTAGGTCTTCCTGGTTGTTTCTTAACAATTGGAGCCAGAATTTGTGGCAATCCAGTCCTGGCACAATCATGTTCTCCTGGCACTGGACATATTTGGAAGTTATAGGTGGCCAAATAAGCTTCCCTAGTATAGCATGGATGCACATAGTCCTCTGGTTGATGCTTGTTCATATGTATTGCACTGATTGCATGCTTACATGGCAGTCCACTCACATCCCACATCCTACAGGTGCAACTTCTTGCTTGAAGATTGACTGAACATTGTCTAACATGAGGCCCCTAATGGCACTCTGCTTCATATAGTATTCCCCAGACCAAGTAGGCCTTCATAAGTTGTAACCATCTGAATTACATCCTCATCCTCCTTCAATTTTTTCAAACCTTTATCTAAAGTTTCACCCGCCACTCTATAGTAGATCAAACATCTCTCATTGATTCCAAACTGAGAGTGATACAACTGCTCAAAGTACATATAAGACAGTGTGGCTCTATCTTCAATCTCTAAAACTCCAACATTCCTCCAACATACTTTGATCATAGGTTTCCACATAAAATTTTCTCCATAATGGAATTCTATAGTCACAGGGTTCCTATAATAAAAAAATTACATAATGCATAAGATTCAGTACATAATTAGAGCTGAAAGAATATAAAAAAAGTTCCAGATAATGGCTAATTATGTACTGCAAGTGGATAAAATTGGTCCAAAATTGGGGTCCATTCTTCCAAAAAATAAAAAAATCGAACATGGACCACAATACACATTGAAAGCAGACAAAGTGACATAAAAGGGACAACTCAAACAATATAATAAGGGCAATATCTGAACCCAAAATATGAGACCAATAAAAAAATTCAGTATGTCACCCAGATAAATTAAGGATTCGAGCCATATCAGGAAAAAAAAAAGACGTGGACAAAAAAAAACTTGGGTATCTCAATTTAACGAAATAAAATAAAATAAAATAAAAATCAGCATAAATAATTGACGAAGAAGGAATTAAAACGAATAGCTTACTTGGGAACTTCCCTGACTCGTTCGCATTTCGATGTATTGTCGCAAGCACCTTCTTTCACGAACCCCTAGTTCATCTATTGTCGTAGTCACATTCTTTGAGCACTAACTCCCTTATCTTGAAAAGAACTGGTTGAATACGATAGAAGTTTGTGAAATTCAGAAGACTTAATTTGAGAGTTTTGGTTGAGTTGTGTGAATTTGTGGGAAACGATTTACCACCTGTATGAGGGTCGTGGTTTTGGCATATAAATTGTAAGAAATTAGAAGGGTATTTTAGACATTAACCATTCTCCGTTAATCTTTAATGGATATAGTGACGGGCGCTACATTGTGCAAACCACATGAAGGTAAAATACCTATATTGATATGATAGGGGTAAAGTGCAACAAGTTAAAACCACAAGGGGTAAAGTGCTATTTACCCTTAAATTTATTCTTGAACTTTGAAAGTATATATCATTAGGTTATTTAACTATACCAATTAAAATAAACAAAATAAAGAATAAACACATTTTTTTATTATTAAAAATTCAACTTTTATTTTTAATAAGCAAAAACTAAAAAAAAAAAACCAATTTTGACTGATTTGTGGCTGATTTTTGTCACCAAAGTTTGATACGCCTGCAAGGTTTGACCGCGTTAACCCGCCTCAGACTGCCTGGACCCGCCTCAGACCGCCTAAAACTGCCTCACATGCCAAAACTCAACTTTTTTGAACCTTTACACCATAATACTGACTAATGCTGACTAATAGTGATACTAATACTCATACTAATACTGATACTAATATTAATACTCATACTAGTAATCTTACTAATACTAATACTAATATGAGTACTAAAAATAAAGAGAACTTTTTTGTTGAAGGCTAAGCTACAATTTGTTGAAGGCTCAGCTACACTTTCTCGAGTCTGGTTAATGTCAAAAAACAAGCTTCCTCTACATAAATGTAAAAAATAAAAAAAATCACAAAATCATAAATTAACATAGAAACAGTAGTTTGACTACAAATCACAAAAGCTAAGTACCCTTCTGTTAATAGCATTACTTGTTTGAACTTCCATATGAGGTTCAAATGTAGTTTGACTTTGTTGTTCTGTCACAGTTTGGCTTTGTTGTTGAGTAACAGTAGCTTGTGTGTTTGACTTCTTTTTCTAGCATTGGAAACAAATTTAACTGCATTAGTTAACAATTAACTTACTCAATAAAATAATTAATAATTGAAAACTATGCATATACCTGGCCTTTATCATTAACTGCACCACTTGCCTTCTTCAAGGGGCAACTTCTTGCATTGTGGTTTTTCTTTTGACATGAACTATACATGTCATTAAGACACCTTGTCTACCCAAACTCCCAATTCTTGTTACTGTTTTGGCAACTGGTGGTGGGATGTCCTTTGGACCATTGATCTCTCCTGGTTGCCTTCTTCTTTTGTGCAGTTTAGGCCTGCCTGGCATCTTCACAATGTCTGGAGGAAGCAAGGGTGGATTTTCAGATTCAGGCCAAGATTCAATTCCTTCAAGTGTGTCAAGTAAGTGGATGTACACTCTCATATAAGTGTTCTTATTATACAATTCTTCAACATAATCTTCAGGTTTTCTCCCCAGATAGTACATGCCTAAAATGGAATGTGCATAAGGAATTCCATAGATTTGCCACTTTCTACAACTGCAAGTTTTATCTCCCAAATGCACCTTAAATCTATCACAATAGCAATTCGCAACTTCAAACTGATCCTTACCATTCCAATTAGGTATGAACTCCATTGATTTTTTCTTCCACTCCTCTATCTGTCTTTGAATGTTAGGACAAATGTCACCCTTGTGGCTTGCCATCTTATCCCTCTTCACATGTAGCCTCTTCATCAAGGTCTTTCTGATTGCCTCCAACATATCAATTATTGGTAGGCTTCTAGTCCTTAGAATCATTGCATTAAAGCTTTCACACATATTGTTCAAAAGTGCATCACATTTTGAATTTGTATTGAAAAAAGCTCTAGTCGAATGTGCAACAGGCCTTTTTGCAAGCCATTTGAAAGCATCTTTATCTTTGGATGCCAAATCTCTCATCACTCCTTCAAAATCTACCACTCTTGAAGCTCTAGCAGCTTGCCACAAAATGTTCTTGAGTGCCAATCATTTATGTGATACCTTGAAGTTACAGTACAAGTGCATGACACAAAATATGTGCTCACTGTTAGGCAGAACTTCCTCCACTGCATCTAATAACCCTTTCTGCTTGTCACTCATGATGGTCCAGTGCTGACTCTCCTCAATCTTCAAGTTTTCTTTCAGCAAATTCATAAACCACAACCAACTTTCTCTCTTTTCCTTTTCTACAACAGGATATGCAAATGGATACATTCCATTATTTCCATCTATCCCCACTGCACATAGAAGAATCCCACCATATATGGACTTCAAGTGACAGACATGTAAGAAGATGATTGGCCTACACCCATTAAGAAACCCCTGTCTCAATGCATCCCAGCAAATGTAAATTCTTTTGAACTTCAGTTGATCTGTTTCACAACTCCCTTTGATTCTAACAGTGGTCCTTGGACTAGACTTTTTAATTTCCTGAGCATACCTCCATATGAGTCCATACTGCTCAATATTAGACCCTGTACTCTTCTCTATTGCCTTTTGCTTTGCTCTGTACAGTTAGTGTCTGCTAAATAACAATTTGCCATCATTTTGGACCACAGTCATCATAGAGTCCAATGGCCATCTTGGATAAGTAACTATTTTTTCTGCATATTTAGTGGCCAACCACCTGGAAGTTGCATAAGCCACCCATTCTTTTCTGTTACATTCATGGACTGCATTGATTGTCTTGATTTGAAAGGTGGATTCACCTCTCATTTGAGAAGCATTGACTAGCCAGGGACAACTTGGATGTTTGCATATGGCTTGAATCTTATACTTCTCATTAAGCCTTAGCTTTATGTCCCTACCATTAACTATGGAGTGCTGTCTCATGGCATCTCTATAACTCTATGCATCATTGAAGCAAACACCAAGCTGAAAGTTAGGATCAGCCATGTCTACCTTTGGATTAAAAACTGGAAAGTTGTGGTGTTTCCATTGATCTTTCTTGCCAGTTTCATCAATCTGATCTTCTGCCACTTTCTCTTTCCCCTTGTTTAATCTCCTAGACCTTCTAGGTTCTTTAACCTCTTCATCTGACCTAAGTCCACACTCTATCCTATGATCAACATTGTTATCATATTGAAAATCATCATCAGATGCAAAAAAATCACTATCAACCAAAAAGTCAGAGTGCTCTGAATCATCTCCAACTGACTGAGCGTCACTGCCACCACTTTCATTATCATCAAACAAACCATCATTATCACCAAAAATGTCAGTCATATGATTCACATATATATTACTACCAAGAACCTCAAATTTAGGCACATCAGACTTAGACACATCATTAAAGTCATCAACTTCATCAACATCACCCACATACCCTACTGCTTCATCTACATATGGAAGATTATCTAAATCAAAGGAATCAGGTTGACTTTTTTCAGTTTCATCTTCTATTACTTGTAGGTGCTTCATATAAATTGTAGTAGCTCTGTCTTTGTCAAGATAGTTCAGTAATTCCAAAGCATTATTATCATTCTCCATAAAATAAAGAACACTATAATCTTGTATTGCACTTCTACTGTGATAGAAATCTTTCCAATCTTCCAATTTTAATTCCCTTGCCATTTCAGTTATTACAGTCATTGACATTTCATCATAACAACAGTAGTCAAAATAACTAACTTTCCCACCCACATAACAGATCTTACCTAAATCCATAATTTTTCCAGAATGGTGCATTACTATTGTGAAATAATCACTATTGCGGCCTGCCAAAAAATATATAAAACACATTTTCAGAACATGTGAATCTAATAAAAATCTGTATGATGTGGTAATAAGGACAAATAATTAAAACGTGCTAAAATCAAAGTGAGAGACTAAAATGTGGTCGAAACATGTACTGTAAGCTGGCTTAAACATATGGGAGACAAGAAAACCAATGTGGTCCACACAATACAGAAATATACTATAAACAAACAAAGAAATCACTATAGTATATTATAAACAAATCCAAGAACACCGCATGTACAACCACATTGAACACATAAAACAACTATTTACATACAAAAAAAAATTAATATGAATTCTAAGAATGCATACCATATTCTGGAGCATTTTTTCGAAAATCGTCCAAGTCATTACCCTCCCTTAACTTCCAAGTCATGATAGAGTTAAGAAGATCTTCAGATTATTGCAATTTATCGTCGACGATGTTAGCACTTGATTAACATAGAGAAGGGGATTTTTTGTGAAGGTGTGAAATTGAAATGAAATGGGGGAAGTCAACGACTGCTAGAGCATTTAGAAGGATATTAAAGGAAAAGACGAAAATCCCATGTACTTTGGCACGTGCAGCGTGCGTGCGCCAGAAAGTGGAAAGATTCACCAGAATATTCCCTCCAGGTGGTTATGTGCGTAAAAAATGAATGTTTGGGTGCGACCGTGCAACTTTTTTTAGTTAAGATGGTAAAGTGCAAAAACGGATAAAGTTTAGGTGGCAAAATGCAATTAACCCTTTTTATTTAGCATTCAATATTTTCAATTTTCCATCTACTATTTTTGTTATTTTCATTACGTAGAACATGTTTATCTTTTTTTTTTGTTTTAGTATTTTTTATTATTATAAAAACCTTATTTGTTTTCTACATAAACATGGAAAATTATCAAAAGAAGATTTGTTTTTCATTTTTTTCGACTTTTGGCATATATAGACACCTATAGGGACCCGCAATAATTCGCAGCAACCCATAGTCATTCGTAGTCACACAATTTGGCCCCATTTGAACCCTAGCTGCCGCCCATCCGCATACACTCACAGTAATCCATGATCACTTGTAGTCATCCGCCTCATCCAAAATGAAAGATCCGCCATAGCCACTGTTGGGTTTCGGGCACGCATACGCAGCGGAAAACAAAAATTTTACGTGATTTAAACAACTTTAAAGCACACAAGTACATGCCCGATGAATTAAATCAATTAATTGCGTACCTTTGCGCTTCCAGCGAAATTAAAAACAACATACATGCTAATAAATTTAACCGAATTTAAATCAATTAACATGCTCGCAATTTAAACCAAATAACATGCTCGCAACGATTTAATCGATTACACATAATCACATAAAATCATACAAACACAAGCATGAAATCATAGTTTAAATTAAACCCTAAAACGAAACTAGGGTTTCGAGTATTTACCTCTTGACGCGTGAGGTAGGAGCGAACGATTCGTCGTGATTACTACGGAAACCAATCCGTAGAATCGGGGCAGCAATGGAGCAGCAGCAGCGGCGGTGTGGCAGCTCACGGCGGCGCGTGTACAGCACGCGCGGTTGTGCGAGGCGGCGCGTGGGGCAGCGTGCGGCTTCGGCTCGTGCGTTGCTCCTCGATTCTTCGATCTACGGTCTTCCTCCTCTCGGATTTCACCTCGTATACTTCGATCTACTAAATCGTGGCACTAGACACGAAGTAGTTAGAATAAAACGGAAAGAAAATAAAGGAGAAAGAATACCGAACAAAAGCCGGCCGAGGAACGGCCGTTCCCGGCGACGGAGCGGCGGTGGTGGCGCGGTGGTGGCCGCGCGGAAGAGAGGGCGAGAGAGAGAGGGTGGCCGATTAGGGTTAGGGTTTTTGTGTGTGTGTGCTAGGGTTATAAATCATGTATTTATAGTCCCTAGCATGAAACCCTAGCGGGCTTAAGTTGGACTGGGCCAAACAGCTTAAGCTCGTTAGTTTCTTTAATCGCTCGTATCTCTCAATTCAATGATCGAAAAATTGTAACGATAACAATTTCCGAGTCATTATAATTTTCTCGTCATTACGAGTGCCATCTCTTATTTTCCAACTTTCCAAAAGTGGAAACCCTAGTTCAGTGGACTTTCTAAATTTGGAAACTTCCCGATTTAGAAAGTTCACTAACATGTTCGCTTATTCTTTTCCTTTTCTTATTCTCATTCATAATTCCAAATTACGAATGTTGGACTCAATCACATTGACTTCCAATTATGCAAAGATAAACTATTTTATCTCTGACCGTTTATTCAAAGATCTCATGTGCACGAGCAGTGTGACCCTCGATGGTTCAGGTGTAAGCTAGCCGTGGGCCCACAACTCTTTGTGGTCAAAACTCGTCCCCTTCGAGTTACAATTAAGGTGAAGCTCGTTTCACCTTAATCACCCAACGAATCAAGATTGGCGTCTAGCAACTACGCGTCATGATTCCCTAGATACAAATGAAGTGCCTGCAAGAACCTTCAGATATAGTTAACGTACAGTACGGTCCCTTCGATTCATATGTCCCGATCGAACTAGAGGCATTGGTTCATCGAGACCTCTTTATATGTTCAATAACGGTGCGATCGTTCTAAGTGTTGTAATCCTTACGTGCATGACTTAAAGAATCGAATTCTCTAATCATCACTTAGTCAGCTCTGGCCAGAGACTTAGAATGATTACAAACTTTCAGAACACACAGGACATCCAAGACTATTCTAGCGATCGAATCCCCGACTACAATGCACAGACCTCCCACTAGATTTCGGACTGCACGAACACTGGCCCTTGGGATGGTCCTCGGTGGAACTCAGGGACAGGTCACGATACAGCTGGTCCTCTAGTGAAGTCACGGTGATGTCTAGGTCATAAGGACTAATGGTGTACAACTATACCATAGATATCTCTACTCGATTATTGGGAACCACTTAGAGATTTCTAGGGTGAGGGAGTTCAGTGAACTCGTCAACTTACGAGCACCCACTTGTGCATGCCGATATCACAATACCGTTTACTGATGAGATGCAGTACACATACACTAAGTGCTAGTCTTAATGGGAAAGGCCGATATCCTCATTAGTGGCGTAACCCTTCGACTAGGAACACGTTTAACAGTTATAATACTTAAGTAAATATCTCACGATCCTAACGATCAATTACTAGTACTTGTAATAACTGTAAGGACTATATCTATGCTTGTGACAAAGGGACAAAGATATAGAATGCCAATGTGTTTTATCATTAATACGAATAAAGGTTCGTTTATTACAATAATAAATACGAAAGACCACAGCCACAAGTTGGCTTGTTGGTCACCTACTCTAACAATCTCCCACTTGACCTAAAGCCAACTACCCATAAACCGCAATCCCATCGACTCTCGATGTTTCTCATGGACCGATCTTGGTAAAGGCTTCGTGAAGGGGTCTGCAACGTTCTCTTCCGAGGTGACTCGTTCTACCTTAACTTCACCTCTATCAATGATCTCTCGGATCACGTGATACTTCCTCAGAATATGCTTCGACTTCTGATGAGATCGCGGCTCCTTAGCTTGTGCCACGGCTCCGGTGTTATCACAGTACAACGGTACTGGATCACTAGCATCAGGAATTACACCCAACTCTTGGATGAATTTCCTTATCCAAGTCCCTTCTTTTGCAGCTTCGGACGCTGCAATGTATTCCGCTTCGGTAGTGGAATCGGCCGTCGTGCTTTGCTTGGAACTCTTCCAACACACGGCACCACCATTAAGCGTGAATATGATCCA